GTGCCCCCCGCCACCCCCCAGCCCGCTCCTCCCCTCTCCTCTCCCTCCCCAGTGCGTCACCACGCTGGAGGGGCACGAGAACGAGGTGAAGTCGGTGGCCTGGGCTCCCTCTGGCACCCTGCTCGCCACCTGCAGCCGAGACAAGAGCGTCTGGGTCTGGGAAGGTGAAGGGGGGAGCTGGGGGGTGAGGGAAGAGAGAACGGGGGGGCCGATGGAGCCAGAGCTGCCCCCGGCCCAGCCTCGGCCTCCCCCCTTCTCACGGTTTTCTCTCCGCAGTGGATGAGGAGGAGGAGTACGAGTGCGTCAGCGTCCTCAACTCCCACACGCAGGACGTCAAGCACGTGGTTTGGCACCCCAACCAGGAGGTAAGAACTGGGCCTGGCGGAGCAGGGGACACCCCAACTTCCACCCCGGACCCTACCCCAGTGCCGGGAACGAGCCCGCAGAGCCACAACCTGGTCCTACACCAACTCCACCGACCTCAAACCGTGGCGAAGGGCAGTTCCGTTGCTGTTTCCTTGCTCAGCTGTTGGCCTCGGCCAGCTACGACGACACGGTGAAGCTCTACCACGAAGAGGAGGACGACTGGGTGTGCTGCGCCACGCTGGAGGGCCACGAGTCGACGGTGTGGAGCGTGGCCTTCGACCGCAGCGGCGAGCGCTTGGCTTCCTGCAGCGACGACAAGACGGTGCGCATCTGGCGCCGGTACAAACCGGGCAACGAGGAAGGTGAGGCTCCTAGCCCGACTGCAGCAGGGCTCCAAGCTGCTCCGGACCTGCTGGGGGAAAAGAGAGGGCAGGGGAAAAGGGCGGGCAAGGAGCCGAGGTGTCACGGTCCACTCGGTGGACTCGTGATGGTTCATTTAGTACAAGTCCCAAAAGTGCCAAATTAAGGGGAACATCAATCAACCAGCAAAACTTTATTGTGTTGCCCACGAAGCGACACGTGATAGTTAGAGATGGGTGAAAAAAAGGGGAAAAGTAAAGTTTAGAGAGAAGAGGAGAGGTTATAGCTACCACCACTGATCTCAAGACGTCCCAGCAGTCCCGGGTCCAGCTGACGCTCCGTCGTAATCCTTGGTGGGGAAGCTTCCAGTTTTCATGCCCAGAAGTGATTTTTTTACGCTCGGTGACACAGCTTGCTCCTCCTGTGTCTCAGGGATCGCCGCCCTTCTAGAGCGAGGCTACGGGGTGGGGAGTGGCGGAGGCACGGTCGGTGTTAGGGGCGGGTTAGCCCTCACCCAGGAGGTGTTTTGGGATTATAATGAAGTGGTTTGTCTATAAAGTTCATGATTTTTTTCATCGACGTTATGGCAACAGTGGCGATCCATCTTTTTTGATAGTAGCTGGGGTGAGGGTTAGGGGTTAAGGTGAGCGGTTAGGAGTTAGGGTGAGAGATTAGGGATGAGGGTTAGGGGCTAAGGTTAGCGGTTAGGAGGGGTCAGGGGTGAGGGTTATATTGACCAACAGCACCGCACAGTTCTGTATTCAAGAGCCTTTTCACCTCATTCCCTCATTGTGATTTGCGACCGTGCTGCAAACAGGTCCCGCTGTCGGGCACCCTCCTGTCCACGTCCCAGATGACAGTGCTGAGAGAATGCTGAGCTTCTGACCGGCTCTTACACCAAATTATTTATTCTCTTGTTTTCCAGGCGTGGCCTGCAGCGGCACAGACCCCACCTGGAAGTGCATCTGCAACCTCTCTGGCTACCACAGCAGGACCATCTACGACGTGGCGTGGTGAGTAGACGGAGGCGGATTTTACCCCATCCCAGGGCTTCCGTTGGGTGACCCACCCCCCCCTACTTCTAGGTGCCACCTCACCGGGGCACTGGCCACGGCCTGCGGCGACGACGCCATCCGCGTTTTCGAGGAGAGCGCGTCCTCCGACCCACAGCAGCCCACCTTCAGCCTCGCTGCCCACGTCCCCCGGGCGCACTCGCAGGATGTCAACTGCGTGGCCTGGAACCCGAAGGAGCCGGGCTTGCTGGCGTCCTGCAGCGACGACGGCGAGATCGCCTTCTGGAAATATCAGCGCCCCGAAGGTTGCTGAGAGATTTAAATCTTTTTCCATCTTCCGGACTCTTCGGCGCTGCCGCCGGTACAGAGAGCGCAGTGGGAAGAGGGATCCTGACCTCCTCTGCCTCATGGGTTGGGACGTTGACGTGCCCAGGAGCGTGGGTGTCCCACCAACATCCCCGGGGGTGCCTGCGGGAGCGCAGCGGCACCTTCGCCAGGATCCTGCAGCTTCAGGAGACGGGACAGGCCTTGCTCCCCGCTCCTTGTGCCCCACACCCAATAAATCTGCACTGTCCTGGCCCCAGGCTCCGGCTTTTGCTTTTGGTGCCGTCAGCGATGGACCCGGCAGCCTCAGGGTGAGCAAAACAGCGGGTAGTTGCTCCCCTGGGAGTGAGTGGGGTGTCACAGCAGGACAGACCCCCCCAGGGAGCTGATTTTGTGCCTCTCGGTGAAGTGCAGCCCGAGGGGAAGCATTGAGGTCCAACTCCTGCAGGTTGGGGCCAGCACAGCACTCCTCAAAACGGCTACCAAGCCAACCCTGCCTTAGTTAGTTCCACTAATGAAGTTTTCTAAGCGCCACAGGGAAGACGCAGAGCTACGCGGTGAGTGGGGGCCAGCCAGGGGTCAAACTGCAGGTGGTCGCGTGTTTCCCACCCCCAGACCCAAGAGTGCAGGGATGGGTCTCGATTTTTATTCAGCTGCTGCAGTCACACGTCTGCGGGCAGCTCCTGTTACAAAAACACTGTACAAAGCATCAAAAAAAAAAAACAAAACACAACAGGAAAATACACAGAAGCCACACAAAGGGAGGTGACACAAGCGCTACCGTGGCTGGGGTTCGGTGGCTGACCTACGGGGTTGGGGGGAACCTCGTGGGGACGGCTGTGGCCCTACGTTAGTCGGAGTCGCTGTCGCTTTCTGCCTCCTTCACATCGACGCTGAACTTGTACTCCTGGTCGCAGCCCATGTAGGCATCACTCATGAAATACAACGTGTAGTTGTGGGTCCCTGTAGCCGGGGCCACGAAATCCAGTTTCACCTACACGGAGAGAAGGGACAGCATTGGGGTGATGGGGGGGTCCGGGCACTGAAGGGCTAAGGGGTGGTTGGACAACAGGCCCAAGCCAGAGCTGACCTCTGGGTGAATCCTGTGTATTTTATAACTGATAACCATCCCGCTAGCAGGTGTGTGCTGGGTTATAACAAACCACCTACGCCGATGGAAAAAGTGCTGAAGTGTCAAAGCCTGAACAACAGGCCCTGAGCCGAAGCTGCTAACGCAGTAGGGAATCATTAACGAAGTGTGTATCACAGAATCCTCTGGGTTGGAAAAGCCCCTGCAGCTCCTCCAGCCCCACCATGACCCTCCCCCTGACCGTTCCCAACTCCCCCAGACCCCTCAGCGCTGGCTCAGCCCGACTCTTCAACCCCTCCAGGGATCCTGGGGACTGCCCCCTGCCCTGGGCAGCCCATTCCAACGCCCAACAGCCCCTTCTGCACAGAAATCCTTCCTCAGAGCCAGCCTGACCCTGCCCTGGGCAGCTTGAGGCCATTCCCTCGGGGCCTGGCGCTGG